AGAGAGAGAAGGAGAAAGGGAAGGAGAGAGTGAGAGGAGGAGAGAAGAAGAGACACTTAGAGAGGAGAGAGAAAAAGAAAGAGAGGAGAGAGAGACAGAGAGAGGAAAGAGAGAGAGAGGAGATAGAGCAAGGAGAAAGGGAGAAAGAGAGAGAGGAGAAAGAGAGAGAGAGAAAGATGCGGCAATAGTTTCAACTTCAAACTGAGCCCCCCCCTCTCCACAGCCACAGAACCCCTGGACTTGTCCAAGAACATCAGGCTGGAAATCCCCTTTGATCTGTGTACAGACACACACACACACATGCGACCCCACGATCCAAGGGCTCCGTACTCACTGCGGCTGATGCAGCACAGGAAAAGCATCCAGGAAAGAGTTGTGATTCGGGGTGGGAGGGAGGAAGCCGCCTGAGACACCCCCCCTCGTCAAAGGAGGGACGTCAGCAGGCTCAGCATTGGGTGGGGGGGGGCTAGACGTTTGCAGGGCCAGCTCTTCCCCCCTCCCCAAAACAAAGGAATCCTCCAGGTCTCAGCTCTGACTTTATTTTATTTTTATTGCAATATGGTGCAACCCCCATCAAGGTGGCTGGCTGCCCTTGCACGCGGCGGCCGGCCGGATGGGCTTCTCCCTGCCCCTTCCGCCTCCCCTCTCCGCTTCCCCCCTTTGCAGACTGGACACCTGACCGCAGCCTTCCCCCCGCCCCCCCCCCAAGGAAACACAGAAGCGCCCCACTCCTGGGTGCCGTAAAATGAGATGATCCCCAGGAGGAAACAAGAGGTGAAGAGAGCAAGGATGGAGGAAGGGAGGAGGAGGAAGCAGAATGCACACCCTCCCGCCAGACCATGGGCAGCCGGTCAGCTGGAGCCAGAGAAGAGGGGGGAAGGGCATCGCAGAGCCTCTCTGGAGCTCAGTGGGGTGGGGTGAAACTGCGGAGTCTCCCTCCGACAGCCAAGCTTGGAGAAGGAAGGAAGGATTTAGGAGAGAAAGGAGGGGAGAAGGACAGGAGATTAAAAGGTAGAAAAGCTGGTTGAGGTGCTTCACATTTCTGTTTGCTTTTCTGGATCAATCAATGATGAAAGGAGGGAGATGTGGAAGGAAGGAAGAAAAGAAAGAAGGAAGGAAGGGAGAGGAAGCAAAGAACGGAGGAGAGAGGGAGAGAAGGAAGGAAGGAAGGAAGGAAGGAAGGAAGGAAGGAAGGAAGGAAGGAAGAGCAAAGAAGGAAGGAAGGAGGGAGATGTGGAAGGAAGGAAAGAAGGAAGGAAGGGAGAGGGAGCAAAGAAGGAGGGAGGGAGGGAGAGAGGAAGGAAGATATGAATGAGAAGGAAGGGAGGGAAGGAGGCAAGGAAAAAGAAAGAAGGAAAGGCAGAGGCGGAGGGAGGAAGGAAGGAAAAATTGACTCTCCGAGAGTCAATTAGACTATTCTTTTTTTCCAACCACTGCTTTCCAGCTTGGTTGGACTACAACTCCCATCACCCAAGGGAGCTGGTTAAATAAGAGAGGCAGGACAGGGAAAGGCATCGCTTGCAGCCAGATGGGCAAGGAGGAGGAGGAAGGTCTCCCCCGGCCGGCCAGCCCTGAGAGTGAGGAAAAAGGATCAGAGGACCGACCGGTGGCTACCAGGCTCGAGGGCTGCACGGAGCCTCCATGGGAGAGAGCAGCCTACCCCTCCGTGCCCATCATCGCAGAGGGACGGGCAACCTGGATCTTGCAGTGAGGCCAGCCTCCTCTGAATGCAAGCTTGAAGGGAGCTGGACTCGAACTCGCTCCTGGCTCAGGACGTGGCTGGTTGGTGTCCAACTCCCCTGGTCATTGGCCAGATCCCTATGCCGGGGGGGGGGGGGGGGGGGGGGGAGGGGGGGGGGGGGGGGGACGGGGGCCCCCGGGGGCCCTTTTATCCTGGTTTGTGGGGGGAAAACAAACTGCCTTTCCTCCCATGGACTGAGCCAGGACAGCTGGAAAAGCCAGATAAGGGAGAGAGAAAAGGACCCCAATGCAGATTGGGCCTGGTGCCCAGTGGGCCTCTCTGGCCACTCCCAGCCCCATCGTCCCCTGCCAGCCTGATTGAGGCCCCTGGGAAGGGGAGGAGTGCAACATGGGGGCGGCAGAGTTTCCCTTTGGCTTTTGTACATCTGGATATGCAGCAAGACAAACGTACATCACCGCCCCAGTGGAATTGGGCAGCTTATCAATTATGACTTATAATAATATAAAATTATTATTATTATTGGACGCACAACAATGTGGAATCACAGCTGCCATTTTTTTTAAAAAAATCCGTGGCTTATCTTCATAAGAGTTCTTGGAAGAACTATTATTATTGTAATAGCTATTATTTCTGTCAGGACTTGAATGGGAACCATTTTGGGCAGGCCCAAAAGGTTGGACTCCAAAGCCAATCAGGCACAGCAAAGCATTGGGCCTGAGGGGGAATAGAAGAGGCCTTCACGCTTCACCCTCTGGGGTTCCAAAGCCCGCCATTTCCAGCCAATTAGGAAGAGGCGGCCTCCTCAAACCGCACTGACATTGGTCGCTTGGAGCGGGGCTCGGGGACCAATGGAAGGGCCCGGCTAAGAGCCAATGAGAAGCTGGCGTTGGGCCACCAATCAGCTGAGGGGGGGAAAGGGGTATAAAAGGAGGTGCTGCTGAGGCAAAGGGACAGACTGCCCAGGAGAGCTGAAGTCACTGCTGGCTCCTGAAGAGAAAAACCTGGGCAGTCTAAGAAGAGGAAGGCTAAAAGAGCTGAAGAGGAAGCAGCCTGAGGAAAACAAGAGCTAAAAGGTGGAAAGGAGACCACCAAGAGAAAAAAACTGGACAATATAGAAGGAAGAGACTCCTGAGGTGGAATTGGTTGAGTTCAATTCACTTGGACTCCAGAAGGCTAAAGGGCAGAAGCAGCTCCTGAGGTAAAAAGCTGAAGTGACTATGTGCCTCAGAGGTAGAAAGGAGGCCACTAGGAAGGCAGGACCAGGAAAAGTCACTTTGGGGACAGAAAGAACTTAGTCTTAAACCATCCTGAGCAGTAGAAGGGAAAAAGGGCCTTGAACCCATTGGGGGGGGGGATGTCAATCACACGTAACCTGGATTCATAGGTACATACACCATGGGGGGGGGGGGGGTATGTTGGCTTCAGGGAGGGCCAATCTGGTTTGCCTATAACACACATTGCATTTTGTTAGGTCCAACATAAAAGTTTCCCTTTTGGTTTAGAAACCCAGCTAGCATTAAACCAGGATTTATTTGTCCATTAGGCAGTGCTAAATCACAAAGAAAAAAGGTTTGCTTTGGGGCCTTTCTCACAGTTGCAAAGAAGGTGTGTTGTGTTGTGGAAGGTGTGAAATGCCTGTGCGTGTCGGACACAAGTTTAAAAGTTGCTTCCCAAACCTCTGGAGCATAAAAACCAAGGAGACCAATCCTCTCTTGGGGAGAGAAGAAAGTCCCAGGGGGTCCCAAGCCCATAAACCACAGCCTGTTTGTTATACTCTACACTACTAACACAATCTTCACGCAAAGAGAAACTAAGGGCCACAATGGGACATTTCAATCTTGGGGTCTCCTCCCTCTCACCACCTCCAGCCTCAATTATGTATATGTAAATTATGCAGAGTTCAAACTAAAATAACACATCAGTATCTCAGTAGCCAGAATAAAGCTTTTGGGAATCCCACAAGCAGATGTTGGTTAGCAGGAACCTAGGAAAGGCAATTGCCTTTGGGCAAGAGATATACTGTTGCTGTACATGGAGGATCCATTCCTCTAAGGTTATCAACCTAAAAAAATTTTTTTTTAAAAAAGAAAAGCCTCCCACATTAATTCATTCCACAAAGATTGAGTAAGGGGGCTTGTGGCAAAGAGTGCCAGAAGTTAATCATGATTATATTGTGCACAACGCTTCCTTTGGCTCACAAATCTCC